TTAATCTGACACATTAAATCCAATAAAACTTTGAAGTTTCTTGCTTGTAACGTGACAAAATGAGGAAAGGTTCAAGGTTTATAATGATATTTGCAAGGTACTGAAAGCATCATTTCGATTTGTGGGAATGAATCATTGCAATTATGCTTAAAGAAAGGATGTGGCCAAAAATAGATGAGAATCTCTCTCGTCTCAGTTGGTTATTTGGAGAAAGGCTTTGCTGTGAAGTCATGAGGCAGTAACAGTAAAACTGTATTGATTTAAATAGGAGGGAAGCTAATGGTTGCCCTCAAGAAACAGTTTAATAGCATTGCTTGAGTCACTTTGATTCCATCCCACTGAAACACTTTGATGTTTTCAAGGTTGTGATGTGACTCAAAGCATGAGGTGGGGTGAACTTTTCCTATAACACTGCTGACTTTGACATCTTTCTCTCTCTGATATTTAAAATCTGAGAGTTGTTTTTTTTTCCTCGTTTAAGCTTTATGATCCAGAAGCTCGATAGCTTTGATGTGGTGTAGTGTCTCATTCTATATGTCACTTTTCTTTTAAGATCAAATCAAATTATTATTTTATTGACATATTTTCTGTTTTGGCAATTTTATTTTTTTGCAGTGCATTCATTTTCATTTGTTTTTTTCTTTGCTTTAAATCCGTCAGAGCCGCCACAGTTTATTAAAGAACCAGAGAAACACATCACAGCTGAGATGGAGAAGGTGGTGGACATTCCCTGTCAGGCGAGGGGTGAGTATGGCTTTGATTTTATAAGACAAACTCTGCCAGGGTGTTATTAACAGGGACTGAATTTAAATGAAGCCGTCATGAAAGAGCAGCCATAACCCGCTGTCTGTAATCCAATTGACTCTCTGCAGGAGTTCCCCAGCCAGAAATTGTCTGGTACAAAGATGCCCTTCCCATTGATCCGGTGAAGACGCCCAGGTACAGGGTGCTGGTGGGGGGGAGCCTTCAGGTCAACGGCCTGCTGCCCGATGACACCGGCATGTTTCAGTGCTTTGCCAGAAACGCAGCTGGAGAAGTTCAGACCAACACCTACCTGGCTGTAACCAGTGAGTGCCACCCCCACCCCAGGAGCTTTCCCTGAAATCATTTCCAGGAATTTCTTCTCTTGAAGATGTAGAAAGCTATTTGTTCATCTCATTTTTCTTTTTGTTCTTCTCTTGCATAGAATTTAAATCCTAGCGTAGCTCACTTAAGCCCCTTTGTCGGATTCAGAGATGATGAGATGTAATTATGTTGGAAAATGAAAATGTAGTCTAATCTTAAAATGAAGATGGAGGAGGGACATTTTAATGCTTAATATGCGTTCCTGCTATTTTCTGTAAATGTATAACAGCTTTAATCCATCCATAGCTTCAAGAATTTGTGTAAAATGTGACGTAATCCT